GCAGCAGCAGCAGCAGCAGCATACTCTAGCATGAAGTTTCATTTTCCAGACTTTTCTGAGCAGCTCTAAGACAGCGAGTTGCATCCCCTCATCCATTGCTAAAACTGCTGCTCCTTCTCGCCCGGCTTGCTGCTGCTGCTGCTGCTGCTGCTGCTGCTGCTGGATAAACAGCAACGCTTGCTTCGTGTCGTAATGCAGCAGCAGCAAAAATGCAGCACGCCGGGTGCTTGCATCTCCTTCCTAAACGTATCAACAGCAGCAGCAGCAGCAGCAGCAGCAGCAGCAAAGATAATATACATACGCAGCAAAACCAGCAGCAGCATCAATAACAGCAGCAGCAACAGCAATATCAGCAGCACCATCACCATCACCAGCAGCAGCATCAACAGTAGCAGCAGCAGCAGCAGCAGCAACAGCAGCAGCAGCGGCAGCAGGAAGCATGAGAAACAAATACTGTAAGAAGTAGCTGATAAATCTGCTGAGTCATATAAACAAACGAATAAATAAATTAAACAAACAAACAAGTAAACAAATAAACAAATAAACAAACAAAATAAATAAATAAATAAATAAAATAAATAAATAAATAAACACCTACCGTTAAAAGCAGCTGATAAATCTGCTGCGTTATATTCGGCAAAAACTCAAAGCCAAAATATCGAAGTAAACAAAAAACACAAAACACCGCACAGCGACGCACGTAACTGTGCCGGTGAGTCTGCACACAAACCCTAAACCCTAAACCCTAAACCCTAAACCCTAAACCCTAAACCCTAAACCCTCAATAACCCTTAATAATCCTTAATAATAACCCTTAATAAATACCCTTAATAATAACCCTTAATAATAATTCTAAATATATATACCCTTAATAATAACCTTTAACAATCAAACCCTAAACCCTAAACCCTAAACCCTAAACCCTAATAAGCAGTGGCTTGCGAGGTCTTTAAGGAGAGCCCCAATAAACCCTAATAAACCCTAATAAACCCTCATAAACCCTAATAAACCCTCATAAACCCTAATAAACCCTAATAAACCCTAATAAACCCTAATAAACCCTAATAAACCCTAATAAACCCTAATTAATAAACCGTAATAAACCCTAGTAAACCCTCACAAGCCCTCATAAACCCTCGTAAACCCTAATAAACCCTAATAAACCCTAGTAAACCCTCGTAAACCCTAATAAACCCTAATAAACACTAGTAAACCCTCATAAACCCCAATACACCCTAGTAAACCCTAATAAACCCTGGCAAACCCTAGTAAACCCTAGTAAACCCTAGTAAACCCTCACGAGATTTTTAACAACAGCCTCGAGGAGGGGCTCTACGACCTTCTGTTCCCGAATCTTCGCAACCAACTTCAAAGCAGCGCCGCGGAGATATTCATTTGGAGACAATAAATCACCGCGCAAGCCGTTGCTGCATCAAACCCTAAACCCTAAACCCTAAACCCTAAACCCTTCACTGTAAACCCTAGAACATAAAGTTTAGCTTATAATAATAGTAATAATAATAATAATAAATGGTAGCAATTGCAAGCAAGAACAAACAACAGAAAATGCAGCATTCTGGTGAACGTCAAGGTTTTGTAAACCCTAAACCCTAATAAACCCTAATAAACCCTAATAAACCCTCATACACGATAGTAAACCCAACCGAAACAACCCTTTGTAGGTAGAGGTGAAACAGCTTAGGGTTTGCACTTAGGGTTTAGGGTTTAGGGTTTGCAGAAAGGATTAGGGTTTCGGACGTGGATAAGACATACAGGAAAAGTATTGAGGGTTTAGCCTCAGTACGATGCACTTTAGGGTTTAGGGTTTAGTGCTAGCGTGTTAAGGTTTAGGGTTTATGATTTGTATATTAGGGTTTAGGATTTATAGCAAGCAATCTTCACTTTAGGGTTTAGAGTTAGCACATTAGGGTTTAGGGTTAGCAGATTAGGGTTTAGGGTTTAGGGTTGACAGCTTAATAATGGGTTTAGAGTTAGCCGATTACAGTTTAGATTTAGCCGATTACAGTTTAAGGCTAAGCGTTTACAACTTAGGGTTTAGGGTTTAGGGTTTAGTACCAGACGAGTATAAGTTCTTCTTTGAGTTTGCCTTTAGCGTCTGTCTTCTGAATGACTTCTAAACAAAGTAAAAAAAGTTTTTTAACTCTTTTGCTGCTGCTAGAAATGCAGAAGCGGATAACAGTAACTAAAAGATAGTCAAAAGGCTCTCCTTGTACAAGGCCTGCACCAAACCCTAAACCCTAAACCCTAAACCCTAAACCCTAAACCCTAAGCCCTAAGCCCTAAAACCCTAAACAACAATGTGCTCTTCCCTGTGATGTGATACACCCATCATATAAACCCTAAACCCTAAACCCTAAACCCTAAACAGCAATTTGCTCTTCATTGTAATGTAATACAGGTACCATATACACCCCAATTAACCCTAAACCCTAAACCCTAAACCCTAAACCCTAATGCCCCTTTCACTGGAATATAATACACGCCCATCACCATATAAACCCAAATCAACCCTAAACCCTAAACCCTAAACCCTAGGAAACAAGAGGGAATATACCACACTGAACAATTAACAAAGAAGAGAGGAGGCTCAGGCGAGGCATAAACCCTAAACCCTAAACCCTAAACCCTAAACCCTTAAAAGTAAGCCTACACTACAAACCCAAACAAACCGTAGCACACCCTATTAAACCCTAGAGAATAAAACACATCAAACCCTTAAACGGCACACGAAGCTGCAGAGACTCTACTCGTAAACCCTAAACCCTAAACCCTAAACCCTTACCTGTGATAAGCTCTTGCATGCCTTCTGCTTTAATATCATCTTGAGGGTTTTCTAGCTTCTTCTGAATTGCTGCAGCGCTGGGGAGACCCCCTTTACCTTCAGCAATAAACAATGTGCAATTGCTGTTGGGATCCATTGTTACTAGGGTTTAGGGTTTAGGGTTTAGGGTTTAGGGTTTAGGGTTTGGATTATAAGAGGGCGGTTGCCAGCGCCTCCCAATGCAACCCCACATGAAGATGAGTTAGCAAGAAATAATAATGTGTCTAGACACCAGAATTGCTGCTGTTGTTGTTGTTGCTGTTGCTGCTGCTGCAGCTGCTGCTGCTGCAGCTGCTGCTGCAGAGGCCTGTAGTCTGCTGCAGCAGCAAAAGCAACGAAGAAGGGAAACTTGCAAGCAAACCACCAAGAGCGCAAAAAGCTCAAATTAGGGTTTAGGGTTTAGGGTTTAGGGTTTAGGGTTTGGGACAGACAAGGGAGTGCTGCAGCAGCGGCTGCTGCTGCTGCTGCTGTTGCCTGCAGCAGCAGCCCCAGAAGACCAGCAGCAAATAGACGAGCGAAAAAAGAAGTATATTTATAATTAATTTATTTAGAGTTTTATTTCTATTTTAAAAGAGCCGCTGCAGCAGACAACACTACCAGCTCTGAGGTGTATAGGCATCTCATCGCTCTCGTGCTTGCTGCTGCAGACAGCTGCAGCAGCAGCAGCAAACCGTAGCAGTAGCAGCAGCAGCAGCAAACTGCAGCAGCAGCAGCAAACTGATTTTAAAGGTATTAATACAGTTGTAGCAGCAGCACCCAGACTGCAGTAGCAACACACCAAAGAATAACTGCTGCTGCAGCAGCAGCAGCAGCATGTGCTGCTGTTGCTCCTGCTGCTGCTGCTGCTGCTGCTGCTGCAGCTATTGCAGCAACAGCAGCAAATGCAGCAGCACTGCAGCAGCTGCTGCTGATTTTGCTGCTGCTTCTTTGTTGGAGACAGATGAATAACACGAGACACAAAACAGCAGCAGCAGCAGCAGCAGCAGCAAACAAACAGACGAAAATCAAGCGAAACAGCAAACTAACGAATAAAGAAAAGAAACAAACAAACAAACGCATGCAAACTGCAGCAGCAGCAGCAACAACAACAACAACAACAAGTGCAGCCACAAGAAAAACAGCAAATAAAGAAGCAAAAACAATATGAAAGAAAGCCTATATATTATTTTATAAATAAACAAACAAATTTAAGTAAAACAAGAAGGGAGGTATAATATAATGTGATGACCCTAAACCCTAAACCCTAAACCCTAAACACCACAGTCAGCAGCAGTTGCAGCTGGAGCAGCAGCAAATGCAGCAGCAGCAACTAGCACACGGTTAGGCAGCAGCAGCAGCACTTGCAGCAACACAAAAATGTGCAGCAGCAACAGCAACTACAGCTCGAGTCACAGCAGCAGGAAGTGCAGCAGCAACAGCAGCAGCAGCAAATGCAGAAGCAGCAACTATCACTTAAGCTGCTGCGACAAGATACAATAGCACACAGCAAGTGCTGCTGCAGCAGCAACTGCAACAAATGCAGCAACAGCAACAACTATCACTACAGCAGCAGGTGCTGCAGCAGCAGGTGCTGCAGCAGCAGCACCTCTAATTGCAATAGCAGCAAGTACTGTAGGAGCAGCGACTGCAGCAGGAGCAATTGCAGCAGCAGCAACTGCAGCAGCAGCACATTATTTTGCGTTGTGGGTCCCCTAGTAATATTTATTCTTTAATTTAATAAACAATGCTGCTTCTGAAATAACTGCAGCAGCAGCAGCATATGCTGCAGCAATTTGCTGCTGCTGCAGTTAGCAAATGCAGCAGCAAGTGCTGCAGCAGCAACAACTGAAGCAGCAGGAAATGCTGTAACAGCAAGTGCAAATGCAGCAGCAGCAGCAGCAACTAATGCAGCAGCAGCAGCAACAAAAGCAGCAGCTAATCCAGCAACAACATTGCTGCAGCAGCAGCAACAAATACAGCAGCAAATCAAGCAGCAATAAAAAAAACAGCAACAGAAACCTTAATAATTATTTGTTTGTTTTATTTTTTTAAAGGGCTTCCTTTCTCTCCTAACCAAACCCTAAACCCTTCTAGGGACTAGGGTTTAGGGTTTAGGGTTTAGGGTTTAGGCTTTCTCTTGATAATGAAGTCTGTATAAGAGGTTTGCTGAATAGGCTGTCTCTGCTTCACTTCAACTCTTGAGGGTTTACTCATCGGGCTTCCTTTCTCTCCTAACCAAACCCTAAACCCTTCTAGGGTTTGAGTTAAACCCTCGCACACGCATCTAACTGTCCCCTGCTCTGTATTTTCTACGTAGCCGACCAAACCAAGCCTAAAACAAACAAACAAATAAATAAATAAAATAAATAAATAAATAAATATATTTATTTTATTTATTTATTTATTTATTTAAAGAAAAAATGATTGTATTAACACATTAAATAAATATGTAAGTAAAGGAGTTGTTTAAACAAATAAATAAATATACTAATTAATAATTATATAAACAAATTAAATAAATAAATAAATTAATTAATTAATTATTTAATTAATTATGCAAACAAATAAACAAACAAATTAATTAATTAATAATTGTATAGGCAAAATAAAATTAATTAATTAATTAAATGTATAAACAAACTAAACAACAAAAAAATAAATTAGCGAAAGTATTAATAAATAAATTAATTAAATAAACAAATTAAACAAATAAATAAATTAATTAAATAAACAAATTAAATAGACAAATAAATTAATTAATTAATTAATTATTAAATAAATAAATAAATAAATAAATAAATAAATAAATAATATTGATGCGGAGAAATAAATAAATAAATTATAAAAATATATAAATTAAACAAATAAATGCTTAGATAAATAAAAAATAAACAAATATAATAAGTATGCAAAGAACATATTAATAAATAAATAAATAAATAATAAATATAAATAAAATTAATTAATTAATTAAATAAATAAAACAAATTAAATAAAAATAAATGAGAAAAAATAAATAGAAATAAACTGCAGATTAAAGAATGAAACAGACGCAAACAAACGCACAAACAAACCCTCAGATAACTGATATATGCATCAAACCCTAGGGTTTAGGGTTTAGGGTTTAGGGTTTAGGGTTTACCTCTGGGCCTCCTTTTGCGTATACACCCGAAAGTAAACCCCCTGCACTTTCCCAAATACTTCAAACTCTATGCGCTCCATCTTGTGCTTCCTGCTGCTGCTGCTGCTGCTGTTGCTGTTGCTGCTGCTGTATTGCTGCTGTTCTTGCTGCTGTTGAAGTTGCTGCTGCTGTTGCTGCTGTTTCTGCTGCTGCAGTATTGCTGCTGCTGCAGGTGGCGTTTCTTCTGGGCTGCTGCTTCTTCTGCTGCTGCTGCAGCCCCTGCTGCTGCTGCTGCTGCTCCCCCTGCTGCTGCTGCTGCTGCTGAATAATAATAATAATAATAATAATATTAAGCAATTCTGAGAATGATATGCACACCGCTGTCTGTATGTACAATGCTGCTCAGCTCTCCGACGTCGAGATTAAATGCTGCAGCTTCAAACGGCTGCTGCATCTGCCCTCTAGTAAAAAACCCTAAGTCTCCGCCTCTAGAGAAGGAGCCGCAGTCACTATGTTGCTGCGCTAGAGCAGCAAAGGTTTGCTGCAGCTGCTGCTGATCGTGCTGCAGTTGCTGCAGCTGCTGCAGCAACTGCTGCAGCTCTTCTTCTGCTTCAGCACGACTACGTGTTATTGCTGCACCTGTTCTTCTACTTATTGGGTTACGTGAGCCTGAATGTTTAATTAATAAATGCAAACAACGGACAGACATATTCTCCTGTATAGACACCCCAACAGCAACAGCAACAACGGCAGCAGCAGCAGCAGCAGCAGCAGCAGCGGCAGCGGATGGTGTTGATGCTTTAAGCAGATAAATATATACACAAAAATTGATATTAAAGATTTAAAAGAAAATAAATATAATTTATTTTTATAATATTCAATAAACACTCAAAATCAGCAGCACAGGATGCCTAGGCAAAGATGACGGTCACCACCCACCGCCAAACCCTAAACCCTAAACCCTAAACCCTAAACCCTAAACCCTTAACATTAAGCAGTAGAACATTTATCATTAAGCTGCTATCCCAGCCTCAGTTTAAAGATATTTTTGCATGTATCTACTTAGAACATATATTAAAATAGATAAACAACGCAGATACATTGCAGCAGCATCATTTGCTGCTGCTACTGCTGCAGCAGCAGCAGCAGCTGCTGCTGCTGTTGCATGCGTCTGGGTGTGGCGGCTGCAGCAGCTGCCGCTAAAAGCATCGAATGGTTTGTTTCTCGATTGGGGTTTGTGCATAGATTTTGTTGAAAACCCTAAACCCTAAACCCTAAACCCTAAACCCTAAATCCCAAACCCTAAACCGCCCCCCAAGGGTCTCGCCCCCCCACCGGGCGGCTTCTGCAGCTGAAGCTTGCGTTTGTTGTTGAATCATGCAGCAGCAGCAGCAGCAGCAGCAGCTGCAGCTGCTGCAGCAGCTGCTGCAGCAGACGCTGCTACCAAACCCTGATGCTGTAAGGACAGCAGAGGCAGAGCTGCAAGCCCTAACAAAGCAGCAGCACTTCCTGCAGGGTTTGCTGCTGCTGATGAACGCTGATACAGATCCTGCTGTCAAGCATGCAGGTATGCATCAGCAGCAGCAGCAACAACAACTCAGGAGGAGCAGCACCAGCAGCAGCAGCAGCAGCAGCAACAACAACAACAAGCTTTCGTGCTGCTGTATAACACATCGACTCACCTGTCTTCTGCAGCAGCAGCTCGAGCAGCAGCAGATCTAGGAGCAGCAGCAGCAGCAGCACTAATAACACCAGCAGCGCCATCAGCAGCAGCACCACCAGCACCAGCAGCAGCACCAGCAGCAGCAGCAGCAGCAGCAGCAGCAAATGAGTGCATGCATACTTGTGTGTGTGTGTGTGCGTTGGGGTGTATGTGCAGCTGCAATATACCTGAAGAATTATATTCGAAGGCTTTGGGACTTAGACGAATCTGAGGGTGGTGTATGTGCAGCAGATCGTTTGCTGCTGAAGCAGCAGCTGCTGCTGCTGCAGCAGCAGCAGCAACAGCAGCAGCAGCCTGCAGGTGTCCGAGCTCAGCTAGCAGATTGTCTTCGCTTAGTTGCAGCAGCAGATTTCCCTCTAGAATGGGAGGAGCTGCTGCCTAGTTTGCTGCAGCAGCTGCAGCTGCCTCATCCGCAGCAACTGCTGCAGCAGCAGATGCAGCCGATACCTCCTGAGCAGCAGCAGCAGCTGCTGCAGCAGCTCTGCTGCTGCCTAACCACTGTGCATGCACTGACGAAGAAGTATAGACAAACACCAAGGGCTGAAGAAGTGCTGCTGCAGCTGCAGCAGATTCTAAATCAACTGCAGGAGCCGCTGCTGTCTGCATACATTTTCTCTGTGCAGCAGGTGCTGCTGCTGCAGCAGCAGCAACAGCAGCAGCAGGCCCCCAACACAGGAGCAGCAGCAGCAGCAGCAGCAGACCGATTAGATGCTGCACTTCTAGCAGCAACACTTTGTATTAAAATATTTATATCTCTGTCTTCTGTTGATCTACCCGAATACTTAGAGGATAATTTATCTGTCTTTGTTTCGGGCTTCTTGCAGCTGCTGCAGCTGCCTGTACACCTCAGCAGCAGCAACAGCAGCAATGAGGCAGACGCAGCAGACGACGATGATGATACAGATCGTAGGGCTTAAACAGAGCAATCAACATCTGCAGCAGCAGCAACAGCAGCAGCAGCAGCAGCAGCAGCAGCAACAACAGCAGCAGCAGCAGCAGCAACAGCAACAGTAGCAGCAACAGAAGCAGCAGAGATCCCAAACTAAAGCAGCAGCACCGGATCCATTAGCAGCAGCATCAGCAGCATCATCATCAGCATCCGCAGCAGCAGCAGCAGCAGCAGGATAGTTTTGTTTTGCATTTGTTTTGCTGCAGGTGGTTTGCTGCACTTAAAAGGAGTCATCTGTGATGCCTTGCGGCTGTACTTATATAAATATCAAGAAGAAATACAGCCTTTCATAGGCCTCATCGTGCATGCAGGTCTGCTGCTGCTGCTGCTGTTGTTGTTGTTGTTTGGGCTGTTGTGGCTGTTGTTGCTGCTGCTTATGCTGCTGCTGCTGTTGTGGCTGTTGCTGCTGCTGCTGTTGTTGCTGCTGCTGTTGCTGCTGCTGTTGTTGCTGCCGCTGTTGTTGCTGCTGATGTTGTTGCTGCGGCTGTTGTTGCTGCTGCTGTTGCTGCTGCTGCTGTTGTTGCTGCTGCTGTTACTTCTGCTATTGGTGCTGCTGCTGTTGTTGCTGCTGCTTATGCTGCTGATGCTGTTGTTGCTGCTGCTCGTCCTGCTGCTGTTGCGGTCCCAATGGATTGCTTCGCCTTTTTTTAATGTTTCATCTTCCTCATTTGCTGCTGCTGCTGCTGCTGCTGCTGCTGCTGCTGCTTAGTTTGGTTTGCTATGCGTTCGTTGAGTACAGCGCCGCGGTTTGATTTGCTGCTGGCTGCAGCAGCAGAATGCATCAGTGCAGCAGCAGCAACAAACTGGGAGGCTGCTCGTCTACCGCAGCAGTTTGCTGCTGCTGCAGCAGCGTTTGGAGTGCAGCAGCAGCAGCTGCAGCAGCAGCTGCAGCAGCTGCAGCAAAGCCCAGCAAACCCCTTTAAAGATGAAAATCTGCTAAGACAAATTATTACAGAAGTTGTTATACCCAACATCCCGCTCAGAGACAGAGGTAAATAAATAAATAAAATAAATAAATAAATAAATAAAATAAATAAATAAAATAATAAATTAATTAATTAATTAATTAATAATTAATTAATTAATTAATTAATTAATTAATTAATAATTAATTAATTAATTAATTGTTGTAATTGATCAGATGTAAATAAATAATTATAGATAATTAAAAATAAATATAAATAAATAAATCTAATATATATATAAATGTATATAAATGTATATAAATGTATATAATATATATAATATATATAATATATATAAATATATACATATATATATGCACGTATCTTCATTAATTTACTCTATTAGTTAATTTACATATATATTGACATATACATTAATAAATTAATATATTTATATAAACATTACTATCTTAATTAATATATTTATATAAGCATTAATATATTAACATATATTAAATATAATATATATATTCATTAGTATATTAATTAATATATGTATATAAACATTAATAAATTAATTAATATATTTATATAAACATTAATAAATTAATTAATATATTTATATAAGCATTAATATATTAATTAATATATTTATATTTACATTACTATATTAATTAATATATTTATATGTACATTAATATATTTATATAAGCATTAATATATTAGTTTTTCTGTATTTGTTTGTTTATAGATCTCGAGTTGCTGCAGGAGTCCCCCTTAGAGTTTGTTCGCAGAGATGTTGAGAGTATTTCTTTGTGTTTACATTTACCTCGGCGGAGTAGTGTATTTGATTTAATAAAAGGGTTAATGAGGCAGCAGCAGCAGCAGCAACAGCAGCAGCTGCAGCAGCTGCTGCTGCTGCTAGTGCAGCAGCTTGCTGCAGATGCACAAGCAGCAGGTGGTGCAGACACAGACAGAGGAGCTAGGCTAATAGAGTCTTCAGCCTTTGTTATGATGTCTCTTGCTTCGAGATCTTCACCTCAATCTGCTGCTGCTGCTGCTGCTGCTGCTACAACTTCAGCAGCAGCAGGCCCTGCAGCAGCAGCAGCAGCAGCACAGACGCCCTCTGCTGCTGATCTCGTCAACTTCTATAATGCACACCTTGCAAAGGAGCTTGAAAAGCAGCAGCAGCTGCTGCTGCTGCAGCAGCAACAGCCGCAGCAGCAGCAGACCAAACGGTCGCCGCTTGCTGCAGCAGCAGCTCTCAAGTTCCTCGCACACTTTAAGAAGCAGCTGCCACCTGAGTAAGCAATCTTCTTGCTTCTGCTGCTGCTGCTTCTGATGCTGCTGCTGCTGCTCTTGCTAGTGTTGCTAGTGTTGGTGCTGCGGTGCTGGTGTTGTTGCTGTTGCAGCTGCTGCTGTTGCTGCTGGCGCTGCTGCAGTTGCTGCTTCTGGTGCTACTCTTGTTGCTGCTGTTGTTGCTGCGTAATCTGTTTCTGCTGCTGCTGCTGTCTTTGTTTTGCTGCCGCCTGAAGTACTGCGACTGCAGCAGGTACCGCTAACACTATTGATGTTGCTGCTTCTGCTGCTGCTGCTGCTGCTGCTGTTGCTGTTGTCTGCAGCTTGTTGGCGAGGAGTTTGTCTCCTGCTGCTGCTTTGCTGCTGTCTCCTGATCTGTGTCTCCGCGCCTTTGCTGCTTTTTGCATGCATAAGGTTTTGCTGCTGCCTGCTGCAGCAAATCCATCAGCCGATCCGCTGCAGAACCAAACGCTGCTTCTCAATGTAATGCTCTGCTGCTGCTGCTGTTGCTGCTGCTGTTGGTGGTGGTGTTGCTGCTGCTGCTGCTGCTGCTGCTGCCGTTGGTGGTGGTGGTGTTGCTGCTGAGGTTGCTGCTGTTGCTGTTCGTGTTGCTGCTACTGCCGCTGGTGTTGCTGCTGCTAGTTTTGTTTCTGCTGCTGTCAATAGCTCAGCGTTAGCATTAGCAGCAGCAGCCGTAATAGCAGCAGCAGCATCAGCATCACAACCAGCAGCAGCAACAGCAGCAGAAGGGGGTTCCTTATGGCTTCTGTTTCTGTGCTGTCTTCTCTGTTTGTTTGCTGCTGCCTTTGCTGCTCCTGTTGCTGCTGCTTCTGCTGCTGCTCCTGCTGCCTCTGCGTCTGCTACTGCTTTTGCTGCTACTGCTTTTGCTGCTGCTGCTTTTGCTGCTGCTGCTGCTGCTGCTGCTTCAGTGCTTGTCTTCTTTGCGCCGCTCTTTGCAAGAGTACGGAGACAGCGAAAATGAATTTAGTTTGAAGGCACTGACGCGTTTGCTGCTGCGGTTGGGGAGAGCAGCAGCACCAGAGCTGCAGCAGCTGCTGCTGCTGCTGCTGCAGCGGATCAAAGCAGCAGCAGCACAACCCGGAAACCCTGTCTATTCCCACTACTTATTTGAAAGCCTCGCCGCTATATGCCGTATTGCTTCGCAGCAGCCTGCTGCAGCAGCAGCAGCAGCAGACCAACAGCAGCAGCAGCAGCAGCAGCAGCAGCTAGTTGAGGGCCAAGTGGTGCCTGTGCTCTCTGTTCTTATTCAACAGGGCCAGCATGAGTTTACTCCCTACTGCTTCCAGGCATGCTGCTGCTGCTGCTGCTGCTGTTGCTGCTGCTGCTGCTGCTGCTGTTGGTACTGCGTCGGCTGTCCTTGCTTCTGCTGCTGTTGCTGTTGCTGCAGCGTATGCCCCTCCACCTGCTGTTGCTGCTTTATCTTTGCTGCTGTACCTGCACTTGATGTTTCATCTGCTGCTGCTGCATTTGCATTTGCTGCTGCTGCTGCTGCTGCAGATTGTTGGTGTGCTGCTGGAGGGGGCGTCAAAGGCAGGAACGCTGGGCAGCAATGAGGTGTATGTTGAGCTGCTGCAACATTTGCTGCAGCAGCAGCTATGGGGTGCATCTCAAGGCAACGTGCCTGCGCTTGTGAAGCTGGTTTCGATCTTCCTGCAGCAGCTGCAGCAGCAGCAACAGCAGCAGCAGCAGCTGCAGCTGCAGCAGCTGCTGCACCAGCGTATTGCTGCACTCTTCGAAAGGACTCAATTCTGTCTGTATCATAAACGCCTGGCTTCCTGTGGCTTCGACTTACTCAATGCAATCATCAGGTACAGCAGCAGCAGCAGCAGCAGCAGCAGCAGCAGCAGTAGGGGGACATCAGCTTTGATAATTCGATGTATTAGCCGAAGAGATATTCACCAATTAGCAGCAGCAGCAGCAACAACAACAGCAGCAGCAGCAGCAGCAACAGCAGTTACTAGTGAGGGCTGGGTTGTATCATGTGCTGCAGCTTGTTGCTGCAGTTGCTGCTACATATGTTACTGCTGTATGTGCTGCTTGTTGCTGCTGCTGCTGCTGTTGCTGCTGCTGCAGGTTTATGGATTTTGAGGTGTATCGGCAGCTATTTACTACTTTGCTGACGGTGCTGCTGAGGAGGGCGCATCAACTGCAGCAGAAAAATTTTAACTGTCTTCTGACCCACACTTTGCTGCTGTTCCAGGTAAAGAAGTAAATAAATAAATAAAATTAAATAAATAAATTAAATAAATTAATTAATTAAATAAATTAATTAGTTAAATTAAATAAGTTGAGTGTATAAATGCAACTGAGAGGAAAGCGAAAAAAAAGACAGCGATAGATATTAAGAAAACGCCTGTTGCTGTTGCTGCTGCTGCTGCTGCTGCTGCTGCTGCTGCAGTGTCGTACACCCGATTTGCTGGCGTTACCAAGCGGATTGGAGCAGCTGCAGCAGGGTTTGCTGCAGCAAGTGGTTGCTGCTATATTTATAGCTTCTATAAAAGAGACATTAGCTTCAGGCTGTTCTTTGGGGAGGAGGAAGGTCTTCTTGCTGGGGATGGCGCGTCTTGCTGCTGCTGCTGCTGCTGCTGCTGCTGGTGCTGCTGGAGCTCCTGCTGCAGTAGCAGACCCGCAGATACTGCAGCAAATATTAGAGACGCTCGAGATCCTCATCAAGGGTCATGACTTCAACTCTCAAAGTCCGCTGCTGATGCTGCTGCTGTCGCTGCTGCTGCTGTTGCTGTTGCTGCTGCTGCTGCTGCTGCTGCACGTATAACAGCGGCAACAAACACCCCTGCTTGTTCTGCTGCTGTCCTGCTGCAGCAACAACAAGGGCCGAGTTGAGGGCCGCCAGATTCCTTGATGCGGATGAAGAGGTGAGCCTTATCAGCAGCAGCAGCAGCAGCATTAGTGACAGCAGCAGCAGCAGCAGATTGAATCAGCGTGTCAGCACCTGCAGCGAAACCAGCACTACAGGAGTATATGCGCGGCGTTGCTGCTACTGCGTGTTGAAACGCTGTTCTGTTTCTGCTGCTGTTGCTGCTGCTGCTGCTGTTGCTGCTGCTGTTGTTGCTGCTGCTGTTGCTGTTGCTGCTGCTGCTGTTTCAGGGGGATGGCGCTGATCAGCGGGCTGACTTCGACGTTAGTTTCTCTCGGCTTGCGATTGCAGATAGCGCACCAATCAATGATTATGTATGTTTGCTGCTGCTGTTGCTGCTGCTGATGCTGCTGTTACTGCTGCTGTTGCTGCTGCTGCTGCTGATGCTGCTGTTACTGCTGCTGTTGCTGCTGCTGCTGTTGTTGTTGCTGCTGCTGCTGTTGCCGCTTCTGCCGGTGCTGCTGTTGTTGCTGTTGCTGCTGCGGCTTCATCCGTTGCTGTGTGCTGCTGCTGCACATAGATTGCTGCGCATCTGCTGCTGCTGCTGCTGTTGCTGCAGCTAGATGACGTTGTTGACCTTCGTGGGGCCCTTCGTTCTGCGCTGTCTCCTCTCCTTCCCAAGATACAGCAAACTGCTGCAGCAACCGGCAACCAGAGCTCTGCTTTGCTGCAGCTGCTTGCCTAGCAGCAGCAGCAGAATGAACTGATGATGCTGCTGCCGCTGCAGCAGAATCCGCTGCTGCTGCTGCTGCTACTGCAACTGCAGCAACGCCAGCAGCAGCAACAGCAATAGCTGGGTGTTTCAAAGGAAATTTTCGCGCGTGGCTGCAGCAGCAGCTGCAGCAGCAACAGCAGCAGCAGCAGAACGGAGGGCGTATGGTTTCTGCTGCCGTTCTTTGCTGCTGTTGAATTATTTGTTTAATTTACTCCAATAGACATTGTGCATGCACTAGCAGCAGCAGCAGCAGCAGCAGCAGCAGCAGCAGCAGCAACGGCATAGCCCTTCAGTTCAGCAAAAGCGAGATACAGCACGCCTCCCTTAGCAGCAGCAGTAGCAGCGGTAGCAGTAGCAGCAAGATTATTAGCAGCGCTAGCAGCAGCAAGAACCTAAGAAAGTAGCAGCAGCAGCAGCAGCAGCAGCAGCAGCCACGGCTAGGGAAGCAGTAGCACCAGATAGCTGCTCGCCACCGACCTAGCAGCAGCAGCGTGTAAACAGCAGCAGCAACAAAACAGCAGAAGCAGCAGCAGCAGCAACAGCAGCAACAGTAGCAACAGCAAAGATAGCCAACGACGTCAATTTGAATGCTTGCAAATGCGCAGTCTCTGAAGAGCAGCATCAGCAGCAACGTTGCTGCTGTTGCTGTTGCTGCTGCTTCTGCTGCTGCTGCTAAGATGACTGCAGCAGCAGCATGAAGCCCCAACAGCTTCAATTTGCTGCCTGCGCATGCAGATTCACTGAAAGGATGCAGCAGCAGCTACTGCTACTTTTGCTGCTGCTGCTGCTGCTGCTGCTGCTTATAATAACGATAAGAAGCGAAGAAACACATACACTGCCTCGGCAGCAGCAGCAACAGCAGGAGCAGTAGCAAATGCTGCTGCTGCTGCAGAATACAAATGGGTTACGTATGTATGTGGGGCGGAGCTGCTGCTCCCTGTAGCAGCAGCAGCAGTTGCTGCTGCTGCTGCTGCGAAAAAAAGCAGCAGCAGCCTTTGACTCTGCTGCTGCTGCTGCTGCTGTTTCTGCTGCTGCATGTGCTGCAGCAATATTTGCTGTTGCACTTCAATTGTCGTCTTCGTCGCTCGAGTCATCTGAACTATCCATGGGGACCGGCTGCTGCTGCTGCTGCTGCTGCTGCTGCTGCATGCGGTGATGCTGCTGGGGTGTATCTGCAGACTTTGACAGGCCTGAAGGCATTATTACCTTCTTCCCTTTCTTGCTGACGTGCTGCTGCGGCTTGTCTTCTTCTTCACTCGAGCTCTCATCTGCTGCTGCTGCTGCTGCTGCTGGTGCTGTGGGGCCGTTGGTGAGTCGCGGTTGTGCTGCTGCTGCAGCAGCGTCATCAACCTTCACCTTCGTTCCTGCTGCTGCTACTGCTGCTTGTCCTTCAGTCTGCTGCTGCTGCTGCTGCCGCTTCCCCTGCCCGTGCTGTTGCTGCTGCTGCTCTTGCTTCGCGCGACCTCTCTTCTTAGGGATAGGAGTAGCAGCAGTAGCTGCTGCTGCTGCTGCTGCAGCTGCTGCTGCAACTGCAGCATCGCCTGCAGCTAGTCCATCCTGCTGCAGCTGTTGCTGCTGCTGCTGCTGTCCCGGTGGTGCAGCTGCAGTACCTGCGGCAGCAGCAGCAGCTGCTGCTGCTGCAGCGGCAGCTGCTGCAGCTCGTGGCTTAATGCTGCTGCTGCTGCTGCTCTCAAAAGGTAGACGCATTCTCCCTAGCGGCATCACCCACCCGATCTTCAGGCGACGCAGCGCCTCGCCTACTGCCTTAGAAGCAACAGCTGCAGCAGCAACAGCAACAACAGCAAAAGCAGCAGCAAAAGCATTTAAGTCTGTGGAAGCAGCAAACGCTGACACAGCAACAGCAGAAAAGACTACAGCAGCAGCAACAACAACAGCAGCAGAAACAACAAAACCAACAACAGTACCAGCAACAACAGCAGCAAGAGCAGCAGCAAGAGCAGCAGCAGCAGCAGCAGCAGCAGCAGCAGCAGCAGCAACAGCAGCAGCAGACTTTGTTTTTTGTGTCCCAGGTGAAGTTCGCGTGCAAATGCATCGAGAGACAGCCGCTCGTAAACCATCAAAGGGACGCCTAAACACAAACCCTAAACCCTAAACCCTAAACCCTAAACAAAAGGAGAGCAGCAGCAGCAGCAGCAAGAGAGACCGAAGCAACAGCAAGGGCAGAAACGTCAACAGCAGTCCCAGCAGCAACAGCAGCAACAACATCAGCAACAACAACAGCACAAACAACAGCAGCAACAATAGCACCAGCAGCAGCACAAACAGCAGCAGCAGCAACAGCAGCAACAGCAGCAGCAGGAGAAACAACAGCAGCAGCAGCAGCAACAACAGCAGCAACAGCAGCAGCAGCAGCATACCTCTGGGCCCTCTACAAACAGAGGCTTTAATAGCAGAAGAGACAAAGTCTGTAAGAAAGACAGAGATAGGTGTCTCCTTAAGCAAGCTGGCGATACACCCGAAGACAAACAGCTTGCGCATTGTAAGTGCAGAGACAGCTGATGTATCTACCTGCACCTGCACTAAACCCACTGCATCTTCAAGCATTGTCAAACCCCTGCAGCAATCAAATATACAGCAGCAGCAGCAGCAGCAGCAGCAGCAGCAGCAGCAGATGTTATACGTGGTGTTGTAACAGTTCTACTAGCAGCGGAGGAAGAGCAGCAGCAGCAGCAGCAGCAGATGCAGCAGCAAAAGAAGAATATAAACAGCAGCAGTAACATCAGCAGCAACAGCAACAATAGCAGCGCAAGCAGCAAGATATATGTATCAGCAGCAGCAACAGCTGCAGCAGCAACAGCAGCAGCAACAGCAGCAGCAGCTACATACGTGTGGAAGGGTACAAAGGCTCTGCCCTTTGCTTCTTTTATAATGCAGACATCAACAGCAGCAGCAACAAGACCTATGTCCTTCACTTCAAGCCTCAGCCCCAAAGGAGAAACCGCACCAGCCATCATACTGCTGCTGCTGCTGCTGCTGCTGCTGTTGCTGCTGCAGGTGCTGCTGCTGCTTGCCTGGGAATGATGATGATGGTGCTGTTGCTGCTGCTGCTGGCTGCTATTGACGCTGCTGCATCCGCCAGAGCTGCCGCCCCCATTGCTGCTGCTGCTGCTGCTGCTGCTGCTGCTGTCTTCTTCCCAAGGCGAAGGACAAAGGATAGCGCGACAGGGTTCCTGCAGCACGCTGCTGAGGGCCTTCGCAATCCTCCTGCGGTTTGCTGCTGACCACTTGGGGCCCTGTACACACAAACACACATCTCTCTAGCCTCCTGCTGCTGCTGCTGCTGATGCTGCTTATGCTGCTGATGCCGATGCTGCTTATGAGGGTGTTGCTGCTGATGCTGCTTATGGGAGTGCTGCTTATGGGGACGCTGCTGCTGCTGCTGCTGCTGCTGCTGCTGAGTGCTGATGATACTGCTACTGATGATGATGCAGATGGTGGTGGTGCTGCTGCTGCTGTTGATGCTGCTGCAGCAGCTATTCGTGTTCAGGTTGCTGCTGCTGCTGTTGTTGCTGTTTGTGTTGCTGTTGTTGTTGTTGTTGTTGTTGTTGCTGCTGCTGTTGATAGTCTTACAGGTTCCCAACCTCTGAATTTGATGGTTGGCTTCTCCTGCTGCTGCTGCTCCTGATCTGCTGCAGCAGCAGCAGGAGCAGCAGCAGCCTCTTCTTCTGGGCGAGTGAGTATTTGCTGCGCTTCTCCAATGCCTATTGCCCACTGAAAAGCAGCAAATAGCCTTGTATCTGCTGCTATTTCTTCTGCTGTAACCACACGCTGCAGCAGCGGCATGTTGCTGCTGCTGCTGCTGCTGCTGCTGAGTAAAACCCCCGCGTCCATCGTCTCAGTCAGTCTCCTTTAGAGGCAGAGATAATAATTCTGCTGCTGCGGTTGCTGCCGCTGCTCCTGCTGCTGCTGCCGCTGCCGCTGCTGCTGCCGCTGCTGCTGCTGCTGCTGCTGCAGGAGGCCGAGCTGACAAGACACCCCAAGAAGAAACCACCGAAAAACGTTATAAACATAGAAAATGCAAGTTGCTGCTGCTGCTGCTGTTGCTGCTGCAGTGGGGCCTTGTCGCATGCAACTGCTGCTGAGGAGGCGTGACTGCTGCTGCTGCTGCTCGAGCTGCTGCTGCTGCTGCAGTGGGGAGGCCTCCTGTGTCGCTGTTGCTGCTGCTGCAGCGTCAGAACCGCTGCAGCAGCAAAAAAAGATTATGCAGCAAAATAATTAAATTAGATATGCTACTTTCTTCTTTCAATCCCCTCACTCCCCAGCAAGCTCCAGTAAAAGGCAGTCTTAGCAGCATTGCTGCTGCTGCGGCTGCTGCTACTGCTACTGCAGCAGCAGCTGTTCCGGCTCAGCAGCTGCATGCAGCAGCAGCGCGGCGGCTGCTGCTGCTGCTGCTGCTGCTGCTGCTGCGGCTGCGCAGTCGGTAGTGGTGGGTGTAAAAACAACTTTGAATATTGCAAATATAACAATAAGAAAAAACTACACAGACACACCATCAGCAGCAGCAGCAGCAACAGCAGCAGCAGCAGCAACCCTGCTGTCCGCCGGCAGCAGTTGACCCCCTCGAGCTGCAACAGCAGCAACAGCAGCAGCAACAACAGCAACAGCAGCAGCAACAGAACCACTATTCATCATATTGAGGCTGTGCAGTGTACAGACACCTCCTGCGGTCTCCGCCGCACAACGCGGCAACCCTAAACCCCAGCAGCAGCAGCAGCAGCAGCAGCAGCAGCAGCAGCAGCAGCAGCAGCAGCAGCAATGGTGGCAGCGGAGGAGAGTAAAGCGTTTGCGCTGCTGGAGGATCTACTGGCGAGGGAGGAGTTTGAGAAGGCCTTTAAAGCGGCTTGCAAACGTAAACCCTAAACCCTAAACCCTAAACCCTCAAATTGAATGCCCTGTCTCAGCAGCTGTATAATCTGGAAGCTCTTTTTTACCTGTTAACAGAGTTGGGAATGTGGGTTTTAAATTAGGGTTTAGAGTTTGGGGTCTAGGGTTTAGAGTTTAGGGTTTAGGGTTTAGGGTTTAGGGTTTAGGGTTTAGGGTTTGAGTGCAGTACCAGTAAGCCCGGAGCAAACGGAGGCCCTCGTCTTCGCTGCTCTGCAGATCGGCAGATGGGAAGACGCCAGAGCAGCAATACGAAGACTGCGGCAGCAGCAGCAGCAGCAGCAGCAGCAGCAGCAGAAGGCAGCAGCAGGTGGTGCTGCTGCACCTCCATTGCTGCTGGAAGAAGCATATTGCCTCTACAGACTTAATAAACCGCAGAAGGCTTTGCTGCTGCTAGCAGAGCTGCAGCAGCAGGAGCAGCAGCAATATAATGCTGCTGCTGCAACCCGCCTCCACGCCCAGGTGGTAGGACTCCTACTGCTGCTGCTGCTGCTGCTGCTGCTGCACCTGTTTTCTTGCTGCTGCTGCTGCAAGTGTTGTTGCTGCTTCTTCTGCCTCCCTTCCCCTGTTTGATGCCGCTGCTGTTGCTGCTGCTGTTTTCGTCCTGTTGTTGCTGCTGCTGCTGCTGCACTGTCAGTTGCTCTACTTGCATTTCGGGTGGCTGTGTTG